TTTTTTTTTTTTTTTTTACTTTTCTAATCTCTCAGCGGCAAATTTATCAAGACAGCATATGGGCATACAAAAAATAGCGACATTAAATTATGACATTTAAAATTAAATTATAACTACATTTCAAATTATCAAGGCAATTATTAAAAATACAAACTTTATTGGCGATTAAGTATAAATGGTTACAGGGACATAATTTATTATATTTACCAAAACTAAGATTGCTAGCAATGAATACTTCGAATGGATTCTATGAAAATTTTGTTTTTTGTTCAGAAATTTCCTTTTTGTACCAAAATTTTATTTTAAGTCTAATAATGTCTTTGTTATATATTTGTTGTATACAATGTAATGGCTGCAAGCTTAATCCAAAAAAAAACTTAGCATTGAATTGCGAAAAAATAACAGCAAAAGCAAGCAAAATTCAATGAACACAAAATTATTAAAGATGTTACTGGGTTAATACCCACGTTGGTCAGATATTTCGTTTTATTCCATATCGCTCAAGTCATGGCTTAGTTGGTTAAAGCGCCTGTCTCGTAAACAGGAGATCGTGAGTTCGAATCTCGCCGGTGCCTTTTAGTAAATCTGTTTTTTGATTGATATTTGTGTTTCCATCAAATTCAGAATTTGACACAGTAGGGAATTAATGAATGCTTCTAATGGATTATAAGGAAATTTTGTTTTTTGTTCAGAAATTTCGCTTTTGTACCAAACTTTTATTTTAAGCGCCTGTTTAGTAAGCAGGAGATCGTGAGTTGGAATCTCGCGGGCGCGGGTGGCTTTGAGAAAATCTATTTCTTGATTGATTTTTACGTGCTCGACTTCGCGTGCAGGTCGTCGGGCTACCGAAGCGGGGGTGCCATCCCCTCTGCAGAGGATCAAAATTGTGATGGCATGCCTTCGGATCATGATGTTTCCCAGACCGTCGCTAATAGCCCATTGTGCAGCTCTAGTGCGACGTAAATTAACTACAACTACAACTGATTGATTTTTACAAAAATTCCAATCTTGCTTCAGAGTTAGAATTGGACAAAGTAAGGAATTGCCAACAATGTACGAACTTCACAATTTAAACCTAGACGATAATTTGCATAATGGACTTAATCTCGCTGCTTAAATAACATGCTAACACTAATGTATGATGTTACACGGCATCAAGACTGCCAAAAAAGCGAGTTTCTGGTGCATCCCTACGCTTATGTTATGCTTATGAGAGGATTTGTGAACAGGCTTAATATTCTAGGAAGTTTTATTATTATGATTTGAATTTAAATTTACACACAATTTTATCATTCATGAGAGTTTTCCGTAATTTATAAATTCTATTTGGTCGTGAGTCTAAAGCAAATTTAAGAAAATTAATATCACAACATAAATAAAGTTTAAGGTTTGCCATGTTTTGAGTCTTATCCCTTATTTGGGAACTTTTGTGCAAAACAGCATCCTTTGTTATTTTTTTGGGTAGCTCCATTGCAAGCTTGTGGAGTCTCCCGAGTTCATTTGCTGTTTGTTCCGTTGAAAATTAAATATGAAGACTGCGTTACATTGAAACACTACAAGCATAATTATATTGAATGGCACGCTTTTCAAGCTTTTGGCGAAAAAACCAAGTAACAGTAACCCGGAAGTCTTATGATGAATTTCAACCTCTAGGCACCATTTGTGCGTAGATTTACGTGGTGAACCATCCATGGCAATGTACTATCATATTTTCCCTCCGATCACAACATTTTTCCTATTTAACTGTCAAAAATATTTTATAAAATTTCCACGATACTTTCTTTAATAACTATGTTTGATGCAGTTTTGTTTTGAGTTCCATATAGTTTGTAAACTTAAAAGTTTTTAATCTGTTTGAAAATCAAGATAGAAAGTAACGTATACTTCCTTATACTATGATTGTCCACAGACTAATGGTAAATGCATATGAAGTGTTGCCATAGATAGAGAGTCCCGCTCTGTGCCATCGCGATCGCCAGTACGAGAATTCACTTCTTCTTTGAACGCATATGCAGAGAAATCGGATCAGATTGGTTCTTGTCACGTTAGGAAAAACTGCGTTCTTTTTGTTGGTAGCGCCATCTATAAGTTTATTTTTCCTGTTATACAAGTGTGTTGTCGGATTAACTTGATTCTCTTTCCGGCAGAATGAAAACATGTAGACTAGAATCTAGAAAGAAACCGCCTGTGGATTGATTAACACCGGTTGTTGTGACCATGTGCTATTGTTGATAATCTGTCACTGGAGTAAATAAGATTCCTGTTATTTATTTCTTGCTCTCAAAGATATCTTATCTTCATAACCAGTGTGAGTAATTCTATCTTTTTTTATCTTTCAACATTGTAGATAATTTAAAGTTGCATTTTCGTTTTCTCTTGTTTCTCTTTTTAAAATTATTTATCATTGACGTTTCCTCTTACATTTACCCTTAACAACATTCATTTTTGTTTGTTTATCAATGAATTGTTTCGTATTTTCCTTTCCTTGATTGTTTATGGGAATTGTATGATTAATGAGTTGTGAAATATATAGCTTTATTTTAGTTATTAAAATTTATTTTCCATTGTACTTTTTATGAATGCATTTCATAATTTAAAAATTGTTATAACTTTCAAAATGAAAAAAAAAGCGTGTAATTTATATTAAATATCTTTACGAGTGGACACTTCTTTTATTAACAAATTTTAATGTTTTCTGCCATGTAAGAAAACTTTTTAAATAGAATCATACCCTTTTTTATTAAATGAAAGCAAAAACAGCAATTTTTTACATTGCTCTTTAATAGTTTATATTCTCACCACAAAGTATATGTTTTTTAACTATAAATTAAACTCCTCTAAAGTTAGATATTTATAGTACCAGTGATCAATTACTTAGTCATTTTTAATTGTTACTAAAACAGATCTTTTTTTCTCTCACATAAGCTATTGAATTTATTGATTTTAGCATAAATATATTACTTACATAATTTGTTTTGCTTTTAAATAATTTATTCTCTCCTGTTCTAATTTGTGTTATATTAAGTATATGTTTTTTAAACAATAAAAGTAAGCACCTCTGAAATTAGATATTTATAAAACCTGTGATTAATGAATATTTAGTCATTTTTAATTGATGCATCTGAAATAAATCTTTTCTTTTACTCTTTAAGCTATTGAATTTGTATGGTTGTTGCATAAATATATTACTTACAGAAGAAAGTTATTCAGTTTGTACATGTATAACTCCTCTAAATTAGATGTTTTTTTTAGATCTTCCGATATGTACCTACTGATTTTTTTTTAAATTTGTTAAGTTACTTAAGCTGAGTTTTTTAATAGTTTACAATTGATGTTACTCATAGTTGTGTTTTGAGAAAATTTAAAACAAATGGCTATTGTTTTTTCTTAACAAGTTGAATGAAATATTATCTTAAACATTTCAAAAAATATTCTGGTAGTTTTAATATCAAGACTGAAAGAACAGATAGAGACATGTATATGTATATATATCTATATATATATTTGGTTTATTTAATAATAAACAACTTTACAATGTGAATATCTTTTATAGTAATCTTCAACATGATACTTAGTATATTTCTACAATTAAATCATTTGTAGAGCAGTTAATTTTTTCTTTTTTTAAAAAAATAAGTATTTTAATTATACTTGAAAAAAATAAAGAATGAGGCTGCTTTAAGTATTCTAAAATAATATGACAGTTTGACAGTTGAAGATATTAAGAAAATCTTTTTTAAAAAAATTCTGCTAATTAAACAAAGAATTGTTTTTTATATTAGATGTTTTTAATACTTACTCTAAAGTATGTTAAGCAAATGTTGTGCTGCTTTTTCTAATTTTTAAATTGAGTGTTAGGTAATATTTAAGGGTACAATGTTTTTTATTAATTTTCCTGCTGTGTGCCAGGGTTCTTACTATTGTGGACCAAGATTTTCTTTCTCTTTTTTTCTTCTTCTTTTACTTGGTTCAAAAGTTTTATCATTATTATTATGAATGATTTGATAAAATACTTCTATATTCAATTTATAATATTTGTATGTTTTCTAGTTTTTAAAATAGTTTGGATTGGAATTAACATGTTTTATTGCTTCTCTTTACAATTGTTGTTATATATCTATCTATATATATATAACTAAATTAAGCTTCTAGTTAAGAAAATTAAAATTATGTAGGTATATTCATGTAGGATAGGGTATGTTTTATTTTTGAGGAAGAAAATCTTTAACTCTTTCTTTCCCATTCGTTAAATGGCAGTAAAATTTATTGTAAAATTAATCTTAATAAAAATTTCATGTAAATTTTAACTTGACAAAAACTTAGTAGACATACTAACTTTATTTAACATATAAACTTTAAAACTTTATTTTAACAATATTTAGGGTGTATTATTTTTTATACTAGTGTTTTTAACACTTAATTTGTATTATGATTTGCTAATAATATATATATATATTCAAATTTTTGTTTGATGGTTATTCAGGATACACAACATTTTATATATCATTTTTCTTATCACCATGGTTTTAATATTTTTTTTTTTACCATATTAAATAACTTTTTTACTACCAATTTTCTTCAAATCCTGTATATTTGGTTAATAAAATCTATATATTTTCTAGTTTGTTTCAATAGCTGATATGAAGTATATTTAATTAGATTAGACATTTAATCAAAATAATATTAAAATGGTGTAGGTTCATTTATAAAGGATGTATTGTATGTTTGGGAGGGAAAAAAAACTTAACTTGTCCCATAATATAGTAAAGTAGAATTCATTGTATAAATTTAATCTTAATAAAAATTACGAATTAGCTATAATTATGAAAAAAATATCACTAAGCGTACCAAGTCAGCAGATTTTTATTATGCATTTTTAAGTTTAAAATTGTTGATGAAGGTATAATTTTCTTTTTTTTTTCCTTCCTTTTCGGAGCAAGGAAAAATTTTAAGTATAAAAATGCAGGTTTTACATATTGTTTCATATTTAAACACGCACCAATAATAAAATTTTATATGAAAGTGTCAAGCCATTTCATAGTATGTACTTTTTTCCTTCTATATTGATTATGGATTTCGAAGCATTCCATAATTGTATAAAATAATATATGTTACTTAAATATTGAATAATGAAGTCATAAAAAATTAAAGATGAAGTGAAAAGGCTTTTGTATTTTTTAAATAAAGAAAATATTATTTAGGCTGTGGTACAGCTGGAGAATTTTTTGGGGGGAAGTTTTAAAGTTGATAAGTAATTATAATTTCCATAAATTTTCAATAGAATCACTATTCAGTGCACAAAAAGAAAAAAAAAATCGAACGCCTTATAACATTTTGATGTAGTGATTGAATTTTTACGCATTTAACCTTGAATATCCTTGAGTTTATAGTTTCGAAAGTAGACATATGAACGTATCTTCCTTGGATAAACCTATTTTTCGGTAGATTCGAATTTTTGTAATTTATTTCAGGTTTATTTTTTTTTATTGAAGCAATTAAAATAAATTTGCACACAATTGTGAAACATGTAGGTACAATGATAATTTGATTTTAATTTATTAAGATTATTTATTATTTTTTGAGTTTTTATTGAATGAATTTGAATTTTTTATTGGGCGAAATTTATTTAGGTACATAAATTTTTTTAACATCATTTTTAGCTTTGCAATTTTGAGTGTCGGCAGAATCGGTCCGAATTGTTTCCAATAAAAGATAGACATTTAAAAATAAAAATTTTTTAATTTAGAAATTGTTAATTTTGTCTTTTAAAATTACAAAGAAAAGGAAAAATTTGTCGAAAGAAAGGTATGTTCATTGAAACACTTTTGTTTCCGATTTCGTAATTTAAATTATCCTCTCCACAAATCAAATAAAAGGACGCTACACTGCGGGAGAAACTATTTTCGCGAATTCTATTTCATAATTCCATTTCTAAAATTAAAAGTTTAAGGATAAGTGAATTCAGATATACTTAGAGTAAGCCATGAGATTTTAAATGTTGAAGAAAAAAAGTTTTAAATTATCAAAATGCGAGAAAACTAGTGGAGAACTTTCTCACAATGTAGTCCTTAGTGATTTCTCATTAATTGTTCGCATTGAAGTCTTTTTTTTTTTTTTTTAGTATGAAACTTCATAGCTAACTTTTGGTATGGCTGTGAAGTCACCTTTTCTAATCTTAAGTTTTTAATTACTTATGGAAGTGAAAGATAATTGCCATGAAGAGTTTTTCCTGTGGTATAGCGTCCTCTTAAGAAAGGAAAATAAAATATAGTATGAAAATTAAATGACCAGCGAAATGAAAAAAGAAATGACATACATTTGAAAAGAAAATCTACAGATTTTTATTGATTTCTTTTCTTTTAACATTGCTCTTCAGTGCGCGAAAATCGAATAATTAAATCAAAAAATATCAACACAGCTCCTTTATTTGTTTTGCGCTCTGTATAGCAGTAGTTTTAAATTACTGAATATTTTGTTTTTGGTGCCGGGCTGGCTCAGGCAATAAAGCGGTCTCCTCTTAATGAGGTGATCCAGGTTCGAATCCCAACGGTGGCTGGTTAATACAAACTATGCTCCCGGCTGTCACCGACCATAGTGCTGGCGTAAAATATTGGTTGGGTTAGAATCCCCTTGCTGTCGGACTAACTGTGAGGTAGTCTCGTGGTTTCCTCACCTTGTAACGCAAAGGCGGATCTATACCATCAAATAATTCTCCTTCAATTAAAAATAATCGTTTGTCCCAATGCACGATCCATGAGTTAATTTGTCTTCTGGGTTGGGTTCAAAATTACAAGGCTACGGAGTTGAACATTGATAGTCCAGAGTCGTTTTTAAAAAGTGCTTTAAGGTGTTTATTTCCGATTTTCGTTTTTTAAAAAGCCCTTAAAGGTGTTTTTTTCATTGGGTGTTTTTGAAAAGTGCTTAATTTTCCCTTTTTTAAAATTAGATTTTTCCTATACCATGCTGATTTTCGCTACGAATTATGCAAAAAGACACAGTTCACATTGTTCTATTCAACGTTTTCTCAATTAATTCAACCCCAATCTATTTCGGCGTATTGTCAGTCCGTAGTGTATGAAAACACCATTCGTTTTACATGATTCAAAATTTCATGATTNCAAAATTTTTTTTTTTTTTTTTTTTTTTTTTTTTTTTTTTTTTTTTTTTTGACATGATAAAACTGTCAATTGTCTAAAACTTTCCAACCCTGCCTAATTATGATATCTTTTAAACTGCTTAAAAATATTTTTGAGTGCTTAAAAGGTGCTTATTTTTTGTTGAATAATTTGGCTACGCACCCTGTAGTCG